AGTAAACAGTTTGAGTTTTATTTCATTTGCATCACGTTTGACATTGCATTAAGCATAGAACAGACAGAAAATGCTTCAAATAAGTATCGTCATATATATTTTGCTATGATTTCCTTTTTAACCTTTCGTTAATCGCTTTTAATTGTTCATACTCATACACCTGACCCTATATCCAGTCTTATTCAATAATAGTGGGACGATCTGTTTCACTGATACATGTTCAGACTCATGATCAAAGTGATCACTCATCTGAACTGACAACAATTTTTGATTTGATTTCGTTTTGACATTTCCGGAGCACCATGATTTTACATTGGTTAATAGTATTCTTTCACGCTGCATGACTTTCCTACATGAAAACACATACTAATCCAATTCTCTAACCTAGTCGAGTATGTCTTTAAAAAAAAATTTTATTCCTATTATTTCATTCAAACATACAGTTTCATTAATTTCCAGAACATGACGTGGACGGCTCGATGCTCAAGATGCTGAATAGTGTCGAACGAATATCACAAATAATACCGAAAGTGAAACAACAGCTACTTTTCTTGGAAGAACGAGAGAAATTATTTCGACAAATTGAAGATAGTTCAATTTCATGTGATGGTTCATTATCTAATACATCTGTTATATCTAAAACATCAGCATTGAGTTTACTAAATGCTCAGGCACCATCTGGTCTTTCAATTAGTTCACAATCATCACATTCTGCTCATCTATCAAATGCAAATCTTGCGGCAACAATGTCTACAAATAGTTCAGTGGTTGATCAAACTATCGCTGCTGCTACTGCTGCTACTGCAGATGCACCGCCTTCTTTTCCAGATACGTATGAAATACCAGCATTACCGAAAGCTTTGTTGAAAGACATCGAAGTTGGAAATCTTAAAACTTTTGGGCCGCATTGCCAGGGTCGATAGATACTAATCGATGCAGTGGTTCACGATTTCATTGAAAATTATGACTAACTGTAAGTATTTCCCTCACTGAAACATGCGTAATTGTCATTGTCTTTTATATCTTCTCAGTTGATTTGTTCGTACAGTTTTCCTATAACTTTTCTCGAAAATGCCCGCTATTGACTGTTGTAATTGATCGCATTGCTGATTGCTTCTATTTGAATACATATGAGGAAAGGAAACGTGAACTGAAATAATTTTCTCTTTACTGGGAAACCATCAATTCACAACTATTTTGATATTCGATCAAATCTCTGACTATGTTCCAAAGTTGAACTACCCGCATGACGCTATCCTTTTTCTCGGAAAGAGCCGTCTCATCTACTGTTGAACTTCATTTCCATTCTGATCCTTGTTTTTCACTAGTTATTTATCGAAAACACAATACAATACTGTTGGTTC